GTGAGTTACGAGACATACTGTATACTGAAAGAGATCGAATGAAAGGGATCCCTACCATATCACTGCACTGGTAAAATCGAGAGGATTTTTAAAGCTAAATACTGTTGAGTGATTTACTGAACTGGATTTCCTTCCTGATTTATTGTCGCTTGGACGTGAGAGTATGTGAATTTAATTTTATTATGGACAAAATATCGACCAGTACAAAGCTTCATTTATTTGGTAATTGGAACTCGTAACACTAACTTATCTGAGGATACTTTATACCGGTAATAATATTATTACTGGTCTGTGTTGAACTGTCGGATGTTACAAGAAACCAAAATTTAAATAAATAGAATAACTCTAGTTAATAATAGCGTCCAAGTATACATTGAAAAGTTCTATTTCATGTCAAAAGTGCAACAAAAGTATTTTAGAGGCACAGTTTCATGATGAGGCAAACCTGGCTATTTTATAGGGCTGGCGAAACTTCTCAAAATTGGATTTAGATGTCATTCATAAAATAAAATGACCAATTTATTCCGTGAAGTGTTACATCCAGTAAAAATAATTTCTTCAACTTGTTTTTTGGCAATGTCAACGTTTTATCTTTGTTTTTCTTTATATGTGTTGAAATGTTATCTCTTAGTTTTTGTGAAGAAATCAGTTTCTGAGAGCTGAGTGGTTACAGATATTTTTAGTTATTGCCCTTTCATTTACTAGTGTTAAGCATAACGAAATGCCTCGAGTTCGAAGACATCCAAATTATCACCATGTTAGCCGACTTTGACATGGGTAGAATTATTGCCTACCGAGATGTTGGTTTGTCCTAACGCAAAATTGGCCGTGTGTTGAGTGTGGATAGAAGAAGGTAGAGGAACACGCACCAACTGATCCTCCGAGACCTACCACAGACCGTCAAGATAGGTGCTTCAGACAACTAGCCCTAAGAGACCGTTTTGCAATTACACGTTAGATCGCTGATCAATGGTTTGCAGAAGAAGGTAGACTTGTTACTATGAGTACACTTTATCGTCGCATTCGGGCCTTTGGACTTTTTTATACCGCCCACGGTTAGTGCTTCCTCTGAATGTGGACCGCTGTCGTCAACGTTTGAACTCTAGCAGAGAATGGCAGCATTGGGAGGCAGAATGGCATAATGTCATCTTCAGCGATGAATCGCGATTCTGTCTAGGTACGCACGATTTTCGTAGAATGGTAAGACGCCGCCTTGGAGAATGGCCTGATATTGGATTTGCTGTTAAGAGGCATGTACTGTACACAGGACTGTTGGAGTAATGGTTTGGGGGGCTATTGCCTATGGAAGCCGATCACCCCTCTCTTTGTTCAAGGCAATATGACTGCTGAGCGTTATGTTGATGATGTTTTACAAACCACTTTACTGCCGCATCTAGAGGGCCGTCCGCACGTATTTTTTCAGCAAGACAACACACGTCTCATATTGCTCGTCGAAAAACAGACTTTCTTCAAGAAGCCCCCTTACTGAGCGGGGCCGTGGCAAATCTTGTTCCGGAAGTTGTTGTATCCAGTATACAACTTCTTTCTGTTCAAATGATTGTATACACACGCTAAGGAATACCTCAGTACCGATTGCCGGGTGGCAACACAAGTCCGCCAAAGAGCCACTTTAGGTCTATTTAATATCATTAACACGCAAAAATAAGGTGGTAGATAAGAACCAGTCGACCGAGGCGGTACCACCCGCTAGCTTTTCCCAGGGTGTCTCATAAATGTCCGCATGTTTCCACACCTAAGCTATGCAGTCGGTTATCTTCCAAAACAATGAAATTAATGATGATGGATCACTTGAGTACTAAAGAATTCCAGACTTAAATTCACTCCACTCTCGGAATGTCCAGGTGGAGAGTGGACTCGAGGGAACAACATCGAAGATAAAATTTGTTTCACGAACATCTGCGGGACAGCAACATTGATGCTGTTCATCACTACCTGCACTCCAATCATTCCGCGATGCTTGTCTTGGCGGAGACCAAAATCTCAGAGTTAACCATCTTAGCTTCCCAAATTACGAGTTGCACTCCAATCTGCGAAAGAACAGGGGAGTTGTGGTTTTTTCCGCAGCAGTCTTTCCTGCTCCAGAGATGTTTCTTTGGAATCAGAGCGGAAGGACATTCTACGGCTTCGCCTCAACTCCAAAACATATCCCAAATTTATTTGCTGCCTTTATCGCTCTCCCTCGGACCATAGCTGGGATGACCTACTTGAATACCTCGAGGTCAAAATCGACTTCCTGAACATCAATCACCCCCGCTTCAGAGGTTCTCCTCGGTGATTTCAGTGCCCATAATGAGCTTTGGTTGGGTTCAAACAAGACCGATGCGGCAGGTCGTGCAGTTGAAGCGTTCGCTCCTACTCAAGGGCTGACCTAGCTGGTGACGAGCCCTACTTCATTCCCCCGCGTCTCGTCACATGCCAGTAGCCTTCTGGATCTCTTTCTGACCATGCATCCTGTCCCTATTGTGGAGGTCAGGTTTCGGTCAGAACCCGCTGTGGCAGCAGAAACTCGCACAGAAAATTTGGCATTACGGACATGCCGGCAGGGAGAGGCTGAGAGACTTCTTCTCTATCTTTCCTTGGAGAGATGTCTGTTTCACTGACGCGGATGTGTCGGCTGTCGGTTCTTCGATAACCGACATTATCCACGTCGGAATGGAGGAATATATCCCTCATACAGTGAAAGTGCTTAGACTCGGGTCCAATGGATTGTTTAACAAATCGCCAGCAGACGATCAAGGCACACAGAACCTTCTTACAAAACCCCTACTGTAGAGAACAGACAAGCCGACCTCGGGTTCAGAAAGAAATATAACGAAGCGGTTCGCAATGCCAAAAACCAGCACGATAAAACTTACTCAAAAGGTAATGTCGCAGCGCAATGGCAGTCGGTATTTCTGGAAGCTGGCCAAGCAGATTGAAAAGAACTCACACAGTAGTCTTCCACCACTTACATGTGTGGATGAAACGATTCTATCCGACTCAAAGGCCAAAGTGGAAATGCTTGCCAAGATCTTTGCTGCCAACTCCATCATGGACATCTCCCTGATCACCAAAGTGCCGTCAAGTCAAAGGACTCCCTACACTATGCAGGAGGTAACATTCAGGCACAATACCGTAAGACGAGTGCTCTTGTCGCTCGATATCAATAAAGCTTCTGGTCCGGACTTGATTCCAGCCATTGTACTGAAGAGGTGTGCAGCGGAGCTGGTTCCAGTTCTTTCGCGTCTCTTCCAGATCTCCTATGAATTCGGCACCTTCCCAGAAAACTGGAAATTTGTCATGTCCAACTTATCCCAAAAAAAAAGATCTAACACCGACCCTTACAACTACAGGCCTATTGCTCTGCTTTCTGTTATAAGTAAGGTGATGGAGACGTGCATAAATCGCGAGCTTCTGGACTACCTCGAACGTCACAGCTTGGTTAGCAACAGGCAGTACGGTTTCCGGCACCAGCGATCAACAGGGGACCTCCTAGCTTACGTCCCGCAATTGTGGAGCAAACTCATCCAGTCTTATGGTGAGGCTCTTGACATCACGAAAGCGTTCGGTCAGCTGTAGCACTCTGCCCTCTTAAGCAAACTCCCATTCTACGGCCTCCCAGAAAAGCTTTGCAGATGGGTGGCTGACTTTATATCTAGCTGCAAGATATCCGTCGTAATTGACGGGTTCTCTTGTTCATCCCACAACGTCAACGCGGGTGTTCCCCAGGGATCGGTGTTGGCTCCGACACTGTTCCTCTTACAAATCAGCGACCTCCTTTCCTGCTCAACCCAATACACAGCTTCGTTGATGACAGCACTTTACATGCAGGAATTTAGACTGACCAGCTGATCTCTGCCGCTGAGCTGGAAAAAAGAAGGGTTGCGACGATTTCCTCTCTGACGAGAGACCTGGAGGTTATCACTGCTTGGGGACGCAGCAATCTTGTAGTTTGATGTTTCCAAAACACAGTACTGTACCTTGGCGAACAAAAAGCGTCCTAGCGCTCATCCAGTTTCGATGGATGGCCGAGTTCTGCCAAAGAGCCATTCATTTCGGCTGGTCCAGATCACCGAGAACCTGATCTGGCACGAACACATCTTGTCAATAGTTGCAGCTGCTGGGAAAAAGCTAGGCTATTTGTTTAGGGCTAAGAAATGCTCGATGCTGTCCACAGGAGGGCTGTCCGCCTGATCGATGACTTTTCTCTAACAGACAGTCTCAGGACCCTTTCGCACCGGCGCGGCGGGCCGTCTGTGATCTAGCTCTCTTCTATCGCTACATCAACGGGGTTTCGCCAGAGCTCTCTTCCATGATGCCGCCGCGCGATGTGCCTCTCAGACAGTGTCGCCTTACTTTTTCAACAAAATTTCTTTGGGATCATCATAGCAGCCGCGGTGTCCCGGCATTTTCCGTGGCCACCCCGTTCAGATCGAACATGTGTGGGATATGATGGGGAGGAGAATATTCACTTTGCACCACCCGCCACTTCTAATGTAACTGACTATAGAAAGAGCTACTTTCTGTGTTTTTCATGAAAATTTGTCATCTAAAAAAGTTAATTAAAAAATAAATTGTAGCCAACAGTATGCACCTTACATGGAAAATATTTTTATCTCTATAGCGTGATTTATAACTACGGGCTGATCCAAATATACCATTTCTTTATTGCAGATTTGAATAGGCCCTTTCAAACGAAGCAATTTGATATAACATATAGGGTTTTGTTTTCAAATCGTTGAAATATTCGACAATCTTTCAAAAAAAAAAAGTTGACAACTCACACTCTGGCAAATGTTATAGCTAGAGTCCTACATTTTTCGTCTGAAACATTTTATGGAGTCATATTTTCTTTCTAACTACCTACTTTCCCAGTTTTTTGAAAGTTTATGAAGGTGGTTGAGAACGCAAAATGAACGATTTCTCAAGACATTCAAATGATATATTTTCACCATCTTTGATTTCTCTTTTCACCTGCTTTGCTTCTAGTTACAACTAACCTTATTGTTCTTGAATTTGGTATTATAAAATTCTGACGATTGCATCCTTTAATAAAGCAATATTTATTTGTCTGGACCATTCTGGAAATAACTTATCGATAATAATCAATGGATTATATATGAGAGTAGATGAGCAACTTAACTTGAAGTACCTACTTGTACCGCATCATCGAAATTTTTGAAACTCGAAGTGCCTTTGAAATATTGATGTGTCAATTCGTCAAGCACCCATGACGCGGAACCACATAACATGAATAGAACATGAAATCAGAAGTGTATCTAGCTACTGATGACGCCATCTAACGTGAGTTGTATGGTACTGTTTCGTGTTTCTGTTTTACTTATTAAAACAACGGATGCATGTAGATTTATGCAAATCTTTTATTGAATATTTTGGAAGCGTGCATTTCACGCGACGGTCGATAGACAAGTGACAAGTCTACATGGCATATGATATCTTAAGCCTATTACACACGTTAGGGTGTAGTCACACTTTACTCAAACAGGTCCTTTTATTTAAGTCCATTTTAGTCAATTTAACCTTTCCCCCCGGACACAATTTCTAATCTGACACATTTTGACATATTCTAATTAATGTCACTGATTTGCCAACTAGTCAGAAAGTTTTGTGCAATCGGATTACACAGGGAGAAACTTTGCGAACATGTAACATCTATCTGGTTCTGATTTTGACAGTCACCTACAAGTTACCAACTGTACTAACAAACCACAAATGCATCTGTAATGACCTTAACTTTTGGGAAGAGTTATCTTTGTTGCCTTTTGTGAAAGTATGAAGACCTTCTGCAATGATTCAATTGATACTATCTCAGGTATCGAACAGGAAGAGAGCAGCACGTCACTGATGGGATGCCACGCTGGCAGTAGCGCTGCTTCCTTTCTTTTTTCGGTATACGTATAGAGACATATCTCACTAGAGTTTTGCTAACTCCATGTAGAGTGTTAATACTTGTGAGTTACGACTCATACTGTATACTGAAAGAGATCGAATGAAAAGGATCCCTTACCATATCACTGCACTGGTAAAATCGAGAGGATTTTTAAAGCTAAATACTGTTGAGTGATTTACTGAACTGGATTTCCTGCCTGATTTATTGCCGTTTGGACGTGGGAGTATGTGAATTTAATTTTATTATGGACAAAATATCGCCCAGTACCAAGCTTCGCTTATTTGGTAATTGGAACAGGTAACTAAGTTGTGATCTTGAGTTATTTAATATAATAATAAGCCCTTTCGTTGATCTCTGATGAACTTTCGGATGTTACCACAAACCAAAAGTCTAACTCAAATAAATGGAATAACTCTAGTTAATAATAGCTTCCAAGCATACATTAATAAGTATCTATTATTTCATGTCTAAATGCATTTTAGAGACACCGTTTTATGTTGAAGCAAACTTGGTTGTATTAAAGGGCGACATACACCACGTGGAACTTTCCAAAACTGAATTTAGCTATCATTTGGAAATAAAGTAAAATATACCTACTCATAAATAAAAATAGCTATTTTCTGTATTCGTCATGAATATTTGTCATTAGGTTCAAGTGCCTTACAAGTCGTTTTTTGAGGTACAGCAAAACACTATTTCTATGGAGTTCAAAAATTTTCAGAACAGTGTGTAGAGTAGTATTATAGAAAGTTTAACAATAATATGTATACAGGATGAGTTTTTAGTGTGGTCTCTGTCGATAACTCCGTTACAAAGTATGGTACCTAATAAAGTTATTTACTATAGGATTCTGTGTTGAGATATTTGAAAAACTATCGAAAAAAAGTAGCATTTAATTGGTAACAGCAGATCGTCAGAGTTTGAGTACCTTATACATTATAAACTAAATCTATTCAAACTTATCCACTACAGACGAAAAGTCAAGAAGTTGTTCCTCTGTTCTTAGTAACTCAAAAAACAGTCGTACAACCCCCCATAAACCTTAATTCAGAAAAAAATTGTGAAAATAGGAATAAAAAGGTGTGAAAATATGGAGGCTATACAACGGAGTAATTGACCGATCCCATACTAAAAACTCACCATGCATGTGGTTTCATTTGGTCAGAAAAGCATGGAGTTTCTTAGTCACATATAACCACAGACAGTAATGTAGAGAGCTTTCAAAATTTTCGAAAAGGATCAGGGTGTATAAGCCGGGCTTTCGGCAATGAAATTAACTCCAAGTCCCAAGTTGATCGAATCTAAGAATATTATTTTTCTTATTTAGTACTTCTGATCAAAGTTCTCAATTTTTCACTGTAACAGTCAACGCTCTCCTTTTGTGAGGCTATATTTTTAATTGAATTATATATAATTATATAAATCAAAAGCATGAACAATTTGATGCAAAATGCAAATAGATTTGTAACATAACTTCAAAATAGAGCGCTGGCACGGAAAAGTAGAAAACTATGAAAATCAAGGAGGCCATAGAGGCGTCCTACAATACGACCCTAAGATATATAAAAATAAAAGTGTTGCTTTACTGAGCTCACATTAAAAAGTACAAGTCTCATTATAATTGTGTATTGATTTCTTAAAATTTTAGCTTTTATTGAAAGCGCAGTAGAGCAACAATTTCATTTTAATTTTGTTTTGTGTCGTATGTTGTTTCCTTATGGATTTGAAGTAGAATGTAATGTACCGTGCGCTCATCTAAAAATACAAAGTAAAATATTTGGGCTCTTACCGAAACGAAAAGAAAAATGTCGATGAAAGCTTAAACTACGTATGATCTAAAATACTTAAATGCATAAGTTATTTAGAAGTGAACAACTTATAGACCCTGATTGACCTATTGTACATGAAATTTTCTGACATCTCCTTTCACCTGCGACAAATTTGGAAACCTATTACAGTAGAAAAGCGGAAAAGGTTGCTTATGTGAGTTCATCGTCATGGATGGAATTCAGGAATGATGTAACATTCCCTGTCAGAAGTTGACATATTATACAGGGTTATCCAAATTAAGTGTCCACCATTAGTAACTTTGTTATTAGTGAAAATACAAAGTTGTTTGAATTAGCAAACTAGTAGCATTTTTAACGCTGGTAAAAATGAGAAATAAAAAAAAAACAATTGAGAGTCGTTATTTTGATTTTTTTCAGTAAAATAACATTTTTTTAAATGGAAACCCCTGTATATTATATTTTTTTCTGTTAAAGCATCAAATTTTAAACAAAAAAGTTCATAATGACTTTTCCGCTAAAGTCAAAAATAAAGTCAAAATAACGATAAATATTTTTAATTATTTGCAGTATTATAATATTAAGACGGCTATGAAAACAACATGGCGTTCGCGATTTGACAGCATTAAGATAAGCGACAAATTGTTAAACTGGACATACTCGCAACTAGAAGGCTTTGGAAAACAATGATAAAATCAAATAATGTCAAACATTAGTGTAAATACTTGTTTATAAGCTTTATTGTGTCATTAATTTAAAGAAAAATGTTCTCCCATGAAGAAAAGTGTGATATGTTAGAATGCTATTTAGTGTGCAGAATAGAGAATACTACAGTGAATTATATCCCGCTCGCATTCAACCGTATGAACGATATTTTCTGAGACTTTATCGAAAATTTAGGGGCAACGAAAATGTTTTTGCTAAAACAAGGGCAAAAAAAGAATTCATAATAAGCGAGGCCACGGAAATTGCAGTTATTGGATATTTTGAAGCTTATCGTGAGAATTCAATAGCAAATATTCTCAAGGACTCTAATTTCAGTTATGGTACTGTTCAAAGGATTTTAAAAAAATACAAATTTATTCCGTATAAGTACCGACCAGTTCAAACGCTTTTGGCAGGGGATCCAGAGAGAAGACTTGTTTTTTGCCATTGGTATCTTAGCTTCTGTCGCCAAAATGTATATAACTTTCGTTACCTTTTATGGACAGATGAATCAAATTTTTCAAATTCTGGAATGTTTAATAGAAAAAACCACCATTATTGGTCAAGAGAAAATCTTTTGTTAGTACATCCAAGAGGCCCACAAGTCCGTTTCAGTTTCAACGTTTGGTGCGGTATAATTGGTTCAAAAATTGTTGGCCCGTTCTTTTATGAGGGAACCCTAACTGGTGAAAGATATGCGGAATTTATGTCAGAAATTCTGACTAATTTCTTAGACGAATTGGATCTTATAAGTAGACATCATCTGCATTTTCAGCAAGATGGCGCACCTGCCCACAACTCCAGAGGTACTTATCATTTTCTAAGTACTACTTTTAATGATCAGTGGATAGGAACAAATGGCCCAATACAGTGGCCTCCCAGATCACCAGATCTAAACCCACTTGATTACTTCTTGTGGGGTTACTTAAAGAACCAAATTTACAAGCGAAGGTACGATAACCTTGACGCGTTAAAGACTGCAGTTAGGGAAAAGATAACCCAGATAGATGGTAGGACCATACTTAAGACAGTTCGAGCAGTTGAAAAACGTGCCCAAAAATGTATTGAAGAACAAGGTGGTGTTTTCGAGCATCTTCTTTAAAAAAAATTGTTATTGTATTTTGTAAGATTATAAGTTGATGTTGAAAATAAAGTTTGTCGATACAATTTAATTGTTTCAGATTGGAGGCCATAACTTCAACAATTTGTAACCTAGGAGAAAAGTTATTGTAAGCTTTTTTGTTTAAAATTTGATGCTTTAACAGAAAAAAATATAATATACAGGGGTTTCCATTTAAAAAAATGTTATTTTACTGAAAATAATCAAAATAACGACTCTCAATTGTTTTTTTTTATTTCTCATTTTTACCAGCGTTAAAAATGCTACTAGTTTGCTAATTCAAACAACTTTGTATTTTCACTAATAACAAAGTTACTAATGGTGGACACTTAATTTGGATAACCCTGTATATAATACATAGTATATAGTATATAAATGACCCATAGTAGGTTCCTACTATGTACATAGAATCTGACGCCCACAGAAAACTCGAGTCTTTGTTACCAAATAGGATTGTTGACGGATAGTACTGGGAAGATTTATGTTTTCAAAAATAAATAAATTGCTCACATCCCAAGGATGTGTCTTTGCCCTAATTTATTTTGAGGACGTGTCCTCATTTACCCGTATGAGTAATAAATGTCCAAGTATTGGGTTAGCTTTTCACAACCCTCACACATGGAACTTACCTCTAACCTCTAAGATAATGAAAA